CTTTGGGGGCTTCTGGAAGGCTCTGCGGGTTCCACTCTTGGGGTGCTTTCCGCTTGGGTACATTTTCTTTTCCCAGCAGGGATCCACTGATGTTCCCTATGCAATTTCCTCTTGGGCAAAGATGATATTCGCAAGCCGTGACCAGCAGAGCATTCATTTCTGAAGATAAAGCACCATTTAAATCTGAGGGGTTCTGCTTGGCAGCTCCACTGTGAGGCTGCTCTGTGGTTGGTGCATGATTGAGGATGGAGGTGTGGGACCCCAGGAGGCAGGTTGGGACGAAGGTGCCACTCCGGTTTGGCTGGTAACTACTGCCACTCCTGCAAATATCCTGCGCTGTGTGCACTGTCTGTGTCTGAGACAGTGGCTAACTTGCAAGGCCGGCGTGAGGCTGCCCATGTCTTAGTCATGTATCTGATTGCTGTTGCCACAGCCACATCCATTGGGGACATGAAAGGGTGCCATAAATTCTCGTGCTTTGGTCCAGATGCTAAAATATCTCTCGGGTCTCTCACTCTATGGTGTCAACAAGCCGTCAACCTTTCTCAGACTGCTTTGCCTGTTCTGTGCCTGTCCTCTCTCATGGAATCATCATCTGAATGGGATGGGGATTTCAGAGACAGCCAAGTACAGTGTGCGAAGCACAAACAGTCTCCCTTAATGAAGTCCTTAGTAAATGCCAGGGACCATATGGTCTTTGTTAAGTGCCGTCAAGGCGACCCTGTATAGGGTTTCTGAGGAGCAGCTGGTAGGGTTCAACCACCAACCTTGCCGTTCAAACTGACCTTACAGTTCAGTGCTGATCCTACAGTGCCACACCAGCTATGCTAAGAACCTTAACTGCATGAGCCCACACCTTTCCTCTCAGGCAAATATTACCAGGAACACTCCCGTTTTACAGATGAGAAAACTGAGGTTCGTCTTGGAAACTCATGTGACTGCTTACCACTCTGCTGATTGGTGGGTTCACACTTGATCTTTCAGTTACCAGTCAAGCACCTAACAAGGGGCCCATAATGCCCCTTTCTGAATCCCCAGAACCTGTGGACATGCTACCAGATGTAGCCAACAGGACTTTGCTGGTGTGATGAAGTGGAGGCTCTTGAGATGACACTATTCTGTGTATCTGGTGTGGGATTTATGGCATTACAGGGTCCTTAAAAGAAGAAGGCAGGAAGGTCAGAACCAGAGAAGGAGATGACAGAGGTGGGAGTGATGTAGGACCACCAGCCAAGGAATTCAGGTGAACTTAAAGCTGCAAAAGGTAAGAAAATGGGCTTTCCCCTAGAGCTTCCTGAAGGCCTTGGTTGTAGTCTAATGAGACCCATTTCAGAATTTTGACCTCTGGAACTATAGAGAAAGAACTGTGTATTATTACTTTAAGCCACAATACGTGTGGCCCTGAGATACTGAAGTCACAGGAAACAAATACAACCTCTAAGGCAACTTTTCAGAAGAAAAGCATTTCGTTCCCAAGTTCCCCAGGCTTTGCTTTCTTTCTCTCGATCATGGTTCTTGACCTCTGTTATTTCCTAACACTGAGTAGGTGCCAAGGGCACCCTATCCATCTCCCTGCCTTCCCCTGGTCCCAGTGATCGTGACTGCCACTGTCAGTACCGAGTCATGTCAGGGTTAGGGCACCTGGCTGCATTAATCCACAATTAAAACATTCATCAAAAGAGATCCAACCATTAGCCTGGCCCAGGTCTTGGCATGCTGGGTCTCCGAGAGATGTTACGTCTGTGTGTGGCATCTGTCTGTCTTAGCCACTTGGTGTCCTTGCCACAGTTCAAGCGTATTGGACCTCAGCATTGTTTCCTCCAAGACCGAGCCTGAGGGGGGTGGATTTTTGCTGGGAGTTGGGGTCTTCTTTCTTTCCCCTCTTTCCCCAAATAAGAGAAAGTACCAGAGTCTTCTCCCTGTAAACCCCACAGAACAGCCTCTGGGACCTCCCCACTCTGCTGCTGCTGGCAAAATAACCCCCGGCGCACACTGGCCTTCCACCAGGAAGTGTGGGTGGGAGCCAGGAGAGCCTTTTCAGTTTGCCTTCTGGCAGCACTTATGGTACAAGCTTAAGCAGAGGAGCAGGCGAAGGGGAGCAATGGGGACCTCTTAGAGGGGCAGCAGGAATGGGACCCCTGTGTACCCAGGTCCTCAGCCCCTCTCTCTGTGGTAGGGAGTGTTGCATCCGCAGAGTCTAGGCTATGCTGTAACAGGGAGATGGGGCAGAAGGGGAGAGCATGGGTACACTCATCTGCCTGCCCTCCCAGGGAGGGGGGTGTAACTCAAAAGTCACCAGACAGGGGGTAGGGAATCACAGGCACAATTCAGATTCCGTTCTGCAGCAAATTCACTTTCTGCTCGGTGCCTGATAATCAAATACAGTCGCTATGCAATAAAAATGGCCAACGGTGATCGAGGACTTGCAGCTCGACTCTCTTGCCTCTCCCTCAACATTAATTCTACTCAGAGGGGCTTTTCTAGTCACCCTTTCCCACCCAGTGGCTCTGTTTCTGGGTTTAGTGAGCCAATCAGAAATGGACTGCCACTGGAAATGCTGACTTTCTATCACCTACTTAGGTAGAAATTGTGCAGAAAGAGCAGCCCACCCAAGACACTCTCTAGGGGCCCAGCAGGGGAGCTCCTCCCAACTCTGCTATTCCTAGGGCGTCTCCCTCACCTCTTGCCAGAGCTCAGACAACTCAAACTTGGAGCCGATCCTGAGCTTGGCTCCCATATGGAATCCAAATCAGACTCTGGGAGCTCCAGCCTTGGTTCTCAAGCCCCAGGAGAGGAAAAGCAGACTGAGGAGTTTCCAGTGTGCTCACAGTTCGCTGTGGGCCTAGAGTATGTCTCGAGACAATATCTTTTTGCTGGAATGGGTTGGTCTAGAAGGCAATTTGCATACCTGGCCAGTCTTTCAGACATACCTTTCCTCCCTCCCTACTTGGCAGGTACCTCTGCAGACCTCCAAAAGCCAAAGGAGGCATGCGTGAAGTTTGTCCCCTGGAGCCAGAGCAAAGCACCTAAGAAAGATGGCCTTGTCCTGGTCACAGTGCCCATTTCATGGCTCTAGCACAGCACCTGTGTCTCTAGGAACACCAAACTTTCTTGAGACGTGATACAGATGAGGCTCCCCTAGTGACTTTGACTGTATTTGTGTATGTGTGTGTGTATTTGTGTGTAGGGGTTGGTAGTGGGGGGTAGTGTGCCATCGAGTCGGTTCTGACTCATAGCAACTCTGCATAGGGTTTCTGAGGCTGTAAATCTTTACGGAGCAGAAGGCGTCACTTTTCTGTTAGCAGCGGTGAGTTTAAATAATCAGACTCTCAGAGGCAGGAAACATCCCTACCTGCATGAATCAGAGGAGACCCTGTCCCTCCTGGAAACCCACCCTGACCTTATCTCAGGCATCATGGGTCTGTCTCCCTCTTCTTGTCAATCTGGGTGACCTTGACACTTGACATGGGGCCTGGAACCCTTTGGTGCTTAAGAATAGTTAAGTCCTTAAGACAATGTCTGCTGTAATACAATTCAATCAGTAAACTCCACTGCTGGCAGCCTGTGTTGATCAGGCTAAATGTCAAATCTGTGGTTTGTAACTTCTTCTTCTTCTTCTTAAATCACCTCCCCTAAAAGGCATTTTTGAAGTCCTGGTGTGGCTCTCTGGGTTAATGTGCCAGACTGTAAAGCCATTTGAATTGCAAGGTCAGCGGTTGAAGCTCACCAGCTGCTCCTCGGAAACCCTATAGGGTCACTATGGGTCGGAACCGGCTCGACGGCACTTAACAACAACAAAAAGGCATTTTTATACATTTTTCTCTTACCCTAAAACTGTCCCTTGTCCTGCCCCAATGCATACCTTAGAGGAACCAAGGAATGGCCAGTCTGCAACCTAACCACTGACCTCTGCCTACAGGTACCAGGTACTGAGTGGCCACTCATCATGATGATCTTTTCTAGGAAGGGGCTTCGACTCAATCCCTACATCCCCCTGAGGTTGGACAGCTGCCCCAACCTATTCTGCCTCATCCCATTGCCTGGGTCACTCTTCTTGTTCTAGCACAGTGTCTCAATGAATGTTTGCTTAAAGAAGACACCAACATATTAAAGAAATAATGAATGTTGAACACTAGGCTCCAGGAACTCAGTAGGTGCCCAACCCATCTTTGCCAGTCCATGAATGAAGAGTGAACTTCTCTCTTCTCCTTCTCCAGCCAAAGATTCCACTCTGTCCAGAAGAGCTCCAGGTAAGGAGCCTGAGGCAGAGGGGCCCCACCACCTCCTCTGCCTACAGAGAACAGACCTGTTCTGTGTTCCCAGTGCCTAGCACACAGATGTTGTTGTTAAGTGCCTCGAGATCGGCTCTGACTCAAAGCAAACCAGTATAGGGTTTCCGAGGAGTGGATGGTGAGTTTGAACCACCGACCTTGAGGTTCAAACTGACCTTGCGGTCTAGTGCATTATCTTACAGCCACACACTAGCACACAGTTGTTAAGTGCCGTCGAGTCGGTTCCAACCCATAGCGACCCTGTATAAAGTTTCCAAGGAGCAGCTGGTGAGCTTGAACCGCCAACCTTGCAGTTCATACGGCTTTGCAGTCTGGCGCATTAACCCACAGCGCCACACCAGTACACAGTAGGCACTCAATAAACGCTTGTTGAGTTGCTGGTGGCATACTCCATTCCGTTTAGAAAGGAAAGTGAATTAGCAAGTCACAGACGTTTCCTCAACGCCCCTCTCCTTTCCCACCTGGCGAGAAACCTCCACCCCAGCCAAGATGCGTCCCCAGCCCCAGGCACCATGACTGAGAACGTCCCCAGGGGCCCGCTGTGGCTACCGGGTCCGCTTTCGCCCCAACCTCCCTCCTCAGCTGGGCTCGAGATCTCAGCAGGGGACCCGAGGCCACGGCCACGTGCCTCCCCGGAGTCCGAGTCTGCGGCGTGGATGCCTGTCCGCAACTCAGCCGCCAGTGAGGTTCCGAGCGCAAAGTTCCCACCTCAAGTTCCCGACGCTGCGTCCCCTCCTCGGAGTTAGCGGGCCGCAGTGGCTGTGTCCCCGGCGGTCAAGGGACTACGGGTAGAAGACACGAGAGCGGACTGGAAGTCTCCGGCCGCCTGCGCCACCTCCGGAGCCACGACCAAACTTCGGTTCCGGGCCCGGATCGGCTCCGCACTCGGCCCGGCCCACCTCTGTCTCCCGGTCCCCGCCGGGCTCCGAGTGCGCCAGGAGCGCAGCTCTGCTGTTGCCGAAGGAGGGACCGGGCAGGAGGCGGGACGAAGGGAGGGGACTGAGCGCGGGGCGGGGAGAGCGCGGCGCCCGCCTAACCAGCTGCTGGGACAGTAGCAACTGCGACTCCGATCCTGGCGTCGGGGCGCCAGAGCTTAGGGCTTGTGCCACCCACCGGTCTCCAGAACGCCAGCCATCCCCGCAGGCAGCGCTAACAGCGGGACGGGCCAGCTCCACCCCGGGCCTGCGCGCCGCGGACGGGTTGCTGCACGCGCCCTGCATGGCGCCAACCTCCAGGGACGCACGCGCCACGCCACGAACGCCATGCCTGGAGCTCCATAAACACCTGTGCCTGGACCCCAGCGCTACTGTTCTGAGGTCTGTGCGCGCCGCTCTCCCGGGGCTGCACGTTCCACGCCATTAAATTCTCTGACACACACGCGCGCACACACACACTACACGTGCTTTTTCCTCGCACGCACACACACACACAACACGTGCTTTTGCCTCGAGAGCCACATGTACCGATACCCGTGGGCTCCTCAAGCCGCTTTGGTTGCCACGTTGCTCGGACCCCAAGGGTCCTTGCTGTGCCATTGCATGGTGCGTCATGCCCTAGAGTCCAATGACCAAGCCGCCCACATCATGTCCTGGCCCTGACAGGTAACACTGGGTCCCGGACATGGCTGTTTCCCCCCTGGCCCACGGACCTGCGTCTCGGGAGTGTGGTGGTAAGCAGGCCAGGCGCTGCCAGAGTTGGTAGAAGTTGCATAGTTGTGGGCTTGGGTGGAGGAGGATAGTGGGAGAGGGTGCCAACACCGAGCTGACCCCTGGTACCATTGGCCTCACACCTTCCTTTCTTCTTGCTCTTTCTTCTCTAATGCCTTGTCACATGGTCAGACCAAAGCAGAATGGAATGGAAACGCCTGCAGAGAACATGGCCTGGGGCCTCATGCTAAGAACGAGAGGTGTGGGTATCCACTGTTACCAGGGCTTCACAAGAGAAACAAGCAAGGAGTTGTTTCACACATTCAGCAAATGAGGTGGGAGGTGGCCACACGGACTGGGATCTGCCCCCAGGAGCATCCTTCTGCTGGGGGAGATGCACCGTTTGCAGCTGTTGGCAATGGCAGCGAGACTACAGAGCCACAAAGGGTTGCAGACCTCTTTAGGCAGAATGATCTGGGGGGTTGGGGGGGCGGCTTTCTGAGAGATGCCATCAAACGGAGAGCCTAACATGAAAAGGATCTGGAAAGAGAGCCTGCCAGTTGGATAGACTAGCACAAGCAAAGGCCCTGAAGCAGGAAAAGGAAGCATTTGAGAAAGGAGTGAGGGGGGTGGTGGATTGGCAGGAGAGTGGCTAAAGCTGGTGTCAGGAGGCCCTTAGATTGCATATTGAGAATCTCTATGTATTCCTACTGATGTTACTTGTGTATTGTGGTCTCCTCACTGGACTTCAAGTTCCATCAGGGCAGGGACTATGTGCTTCCCCCATTTCCCATTCCCATCTTCTACATTGCCAAGCACACACTGAGCAGGGTCTGATATCATCTTTTGAAGGAAGGCTTAGGAGAATCGTATGGAATAGCTTTGATGATCTCTGATGTACGGTAACTTGGAGATCACAGGTTGAGAAGGCAGCCCTCTGCAAGGCGTATTGGAAGTCTGAGGGCTGGGCCCACTCCCAGAGTTTCTGATTCAGCAAGTCTAGGATGGAGCCCTTCTAACAAGTTCCCAGGTGATGCTGATGCTGCGGGTCTGGGATTCGCATTTGGAGAACCATTGATGGAGAGGTCTTGAGGCACAAACTCCAATGGGTCTGACTTCAAAGCTAATAGATCCATTAAGCAATTCACGCTTGCTTCCTTTTGTGTGGGAATAGGTGGACCCTTGGACCACCTCTCAAGAGGAATTTCCCTGGGAGTTGGGCCTATCCGAATACCTGTGCACCAGAGACAGATATTAGGGTGGCCTATGGACAGAAGTCTCTGACACAGTGTGTGGGGATCATCAGTAAGGGAGGACAATGTCCCCTTTCTCTCCCTCTGCATTTCTCCTATACAGATTCACTTGCTGTGCCCAAGAGTTAAATTGCTTCCTACTTGTATGGCACGGTGATTAAGTGTTCAGCTGCTAACCAAAAAGTCAGTGGTTTGTACCCAGCGGCTGCTCCAAGGGAGAAAGACATAGCAGTGGGCTTCCATGAAATCCTATGGGGCCCATCTAATCTGTCCTATAGGGTCACTGTGAGTAGTAATTGATTCAAGAGCAATGGATTTGGTTTGGTGTGGTTATATCGCTGTCTGGTATTAAAGGATGTCCAGTAAAATTCTTTTAAATCCTTTTAAGGATTTCCCTCTTTGCAATTCTTCCTTCTTTGAGAGCCTTTCGGATTTTCGGCTCTTTTCACGTCTTCACTTCCTTCCTGAGAAGCATTCCTTCCCAAGCTGTTTTGTGGAAATGAGATATTGAAAGCTTTGTGAAAAGATGGGAAAAGTGCTTTCTGAGTATCTGTCGTGTGCCAGATGGGTCACTGGGTCGAAGGGGGTGTGTTGTAGACATGAGAGGCATCAATTAGATTAGTAAGTAAGATCTGACCACAGATTGGTTTTGTTTTTTTTTTGCCCCTCGTTGTTAAGTGCTGTTGAGTTGATTCTGACTCAGTGACCCTCTGTAGGGTTTCTGAGGAGCGGCTGGTGGGTTTAAACTGATGAACTTGCAGTTACCCATCCAGTGCTTACCCAACAGTGCCATACCAGCACTCCTTTTTGTCCTTAGAGAGTTTTAAAACATTTTTTAATAAAAAAAATTAATGGTAACCTTTGGTGGTGGTGGTGGTTGTGTGCCGTGGAGTCGGTTCCGACTCATAGCGACCCTGTACAGGATTTCCGAGGCTGTAAATATGGGAGCAGAAAGCCTCATCTTTCTCCCGCGGAGTAGTTTTGAACTGCTGACCTTGAGGTTTGTGGCCCGATTGGTAACCACTACGCTACCAGAATTCCTTGTGGTAACCTTTAAAAACCAGGATATTTCACAACATTTTTTTCTTTTGAAAAAATGGGAAGATCTGCTCGAGATCCCTCATGTAAGCAGTCATGACCCCTCACACCCTGTTTGTTAGTTTCCAGTATTCCAAGCAGTTTGTATCCAACTACTAACCTAGAGGTTGGTGATTCAAACTACCCAGCAATGCCACAGAAGGGAGGCTTGGAGATCTGCTTCTGCAAAGATGACAGCCAAGAAAACCAGGTGGAGCAGTTCTCCTCTGTAGCACACGGTGTCGCTGAGGGTTAGAATCAACTGGACAGCAACAGGTTTAGGTTTTAGGTTTTTATTTGGTAATCATTTGATCCTTAACCCATATCATCTAGTTTACTACCTGGAGATGAAGTCTACGTCTTGACCAATTGTCTTAGGTCACACAGTACATGGGCATGCTGGAGCTATATCCAAGCCTGCCTGGCCGAAAAGCTGAAGCTTGTCATTGAAAAACAAGCTGCTATTAATATTGGGGGCAGGAGGAGGCTGTGTCATCCTTGGCTCCGAGGAAATACCTTAAAAGGGAGTTACTGTCAGCAGCTTGGGAATATGCTTCTTTGCATTCATAACCAGCTGTCAGTAAGTCATTAAAGCCTTGGGTTGTTTTTCCTCTGCATGAAGGGGCATCTATCCTGCTCTGTCTAAACTTTCTCATCCATCCCTACCTTGAGATGGAAGCGCTTAGATTTGAAAGCTCACTGGGTAGAGTTAAGAGAGGAGCCTGTGAAGGAGGACTTTCTTTGTCTGAGTTAGCTCTCCTGGAGGGGATCTAATGGGGTGCCCCTGAGTACAACTTGTTGTAGGAAAAGGGTTGGTCTGCTAGTTAGGGTGGGGATGGAGTTGGGGGCACAGTCTGCTGCCATCTGCCCACAACCACTCTGTTCCAGGTACTCTGCCCTCCTCTCTCTTCCCCTCTGACAGGACAGGCTTAGTTCCTTGATCTCCGCTGCTCTGACATAGGTATCCACCCCCACTTCCCAGTCCAGACTGCTGAGAACAGGGGAGTGAAGCTGAGTTTTTAAGGGTCCAGTTTAAGAGTGATATTCTGTTCCTTGTGGATTTTTTTTTTCTTTGCACTAATTTTGCTTTTTAAAAATACTGTATCAAAATGTGATTTATCTTGATAATAACTTTTTGGTACCTTCTTCAATTTCGCTTTCTAGGTGAGTGCCTCACCTGTCTTTTCCTAGTCCTGGGATCTTTGTAAAGCGTGCTATGCTGAACGTGAGGGAGACCTGGGTTTTAGTCCAAGCACAGCCACTGAGCTGTGACTGGACAGAGCCCCCTGGTATCCTGAGCTTTGACTGTACCATTTGTCCAGGGTCAGGCCTATACCTGGCTTTAGTCAAGGGCCAACCTAAGACACCCACTAGCTTGTACAGCACGCCCATCTACTAGGGCTTTGGGGCTGTTTTAGGCATCATGTGCTGTCACCTTTATGGGATGTCACGATCTTTTTTTGCACCCCATGTGATACGCTCCTCTGTTCAAACACCATGAAAGCTTCATGCAATAGGTGTCAGTCAATCCCCGCGTTTCTTTTCCCCATTCTGTGTGGGAATTCATCTTCAGCTTGAGAACTGTGGCTATGGTCTTCAATGTCTTGTTGCATGTTCTTTGCTTTCCTTCATTGATTCATGCAACAACATTCATTAAGTAAGTACCTTCTATGGTGAAGCGTCCTGGTATGGTACTGTATGATAAGCACTAGACTGCCAACCACAAGATCATCAGTTCAAACCCACTAGCTGCTGCTTGGAAACTCTATATTGCTATTTTGTTGTTAAGTGCTGTTGAGTCAGTTCTGACTCATAGTGACCCTGTATAGGGTTTCTAAGGAGTAGCTGCTAGGTTTGAACCACCGACCTTGCAGTTCAAGCCTACCTTTCAGTCCAGTGCATTATTCTGCAGTGCTATACCAGGACTGCTGGAAACCGTATACAGACAGGGTTGCTATGAGTCAGAACTGACTCGGTGGCACTTAACA